CTCGTTTTTTGAATTTTGGCCAATTTGGCGCAGGTGTGTTTCCGTGACTCCCTTATGCATTTGTGTGCCATCTGGATCCAGCATGAGAAAGACTATGCCACTGTATTTACATCACTTGGTTACTCAGAGAGTCCAGGTTACGTGAGCTTTACATACGCTGTAATAACCTGGCTATTGTAAATGCATGCATACATGCAACGGGCCAGTGGTCTGATTTTTCTCCTCTTTCCAACTTCATTGTAGATGCCAAGCAGAAAGTGCAGTGAGAAGCAGCTTCATAAGATTCTACAGGCTGCCTTGTGTTCCTTCCAGTTTGAGTTCAACTTGGAAGGACTTGTCAACCCTGTAATGATCTGTCCTTCCATCCAGCTGTAACCTGCTGCTACTTTCCCTCTCTGTAGCTTTTATTTATTTTTTTGTTATGCGTGCTTACAAAAAGCAGAACAGATTTCATCATTCTGCGACAGCTTTAAGATAAAGTTGCACAGAACGTTTTCCTTTCCTTTTGTTTTCATAATAATAATAATAATCACCTGTATTTGGCTCCTTGACAGTGGGTGACGTTGCACCATAACATCTGCTGTAAGCAACAAGAGCCATGGATAAAATCATTTAAAGTGGGAGAGCTGACGATGATGGTTTCATACAGACCAGTGTTTCCAGCGAGCGTTAATGACGACAGGGCCTTTCACACACTTTGTACCGCCACACAATACTATCACGAGTCCTTGACTTAAGATGATGGAAACATAAAAGACTTCTCATAACGTGGCGCAGTCACAGTGATATATTACTGGCTCCAGCAGTCATGGAGTCAGTCACATGGAGCTAAAGCCAAACACCACACGGCAGCAGTGACTGAATAACAGATACTCCACCACGGTACAGTCACACAGAGGCACATCTAATGCATATGCTGTCGTGATATTCATGTACGACAGTATTTCTACTTCCTGTAGAAGACAATATAAGTGTGGAATGTTTGAAACGTATACTCAACACCCATTCTGGTCTGCTGTTGACAATCACTACTCATGATACCCATCTAAAACTATGTACATTCACATGTACAGCTGGAAACACGTGTTAAAATACAACCTTACTAAAGAGTAACACTGAGAACCTTACAAACCTAATTTAATACATGTTCTGTGTATGTCTGCAAAATCCTGGTTGCTGCGAAAACCCAGTGTAACACACTCTCCATGTTTTATCTCCTGAATCTTAAAACTGGCTGTAAAATGACACTGATGTATATAGAACTGCTTTTCTGCATAAAATAGTTTTAAATCTGATGAAGGAATGTACAAACGAGGCTGTAAGTCTGTGATCTTACAAATCAGAAAAGGTTGGGATGGTATGTAAACTCCAAATTAAAGCTGTGACAGTAGTGATGTGTAAACTAAACTCTCTCTGGAATGTGTTGCAGCATCAGGATTGAATAAGTGTTTATTTTGAGAAAAGAATCAAATTGATGAGGTATCACATCAAATAACACAGATGATTTACACATCACTACTGTCAGTTTTAATTTGGATTTTACATACCGTCCCAACTTTTTCTGATTTGGGGTTGTCTGCCCACTTTTGGCACTTTACTCTGTGACCCAGACACATTTCAGGCAGGACCAAAAAAAAGTATGGAGCTTCAGTACCGCGCTCTAGTCAGTGTTCCAACAGAAATACCACAGGTGTGAGTTTGACTCTGGACACTTAAAGGTATGGTTGGCGATTCTGCCCAGAACCTTTTTGTGTTACATATCTTGACATTCTCTTTTCATCCCAATGGCAATGAACACATTAAATGCACTGGCAACATAAAGAGACAACTTGTCATCTCTGGCAGGAGCAGGGCTGAAAAAAGCCAACCCTACCTTTAAAACACTCATCATATTCATTACTGATTTATTTAACAACTACAATGCTCCCTTTCTGTAGAAAGCAGCCAAAGTACAAGACTAAGGCATCCTGGGTCAACATCAGCACATTTGGGATTTAGAATGCAGCAGATAAATCCTGCACTCACCTGCAGGTTGTATGAGGCCTGTTCAAAGCCACACGCACTGTGAGGGTTCTTTAACAGCAGGCTGCAGCAATGAGCACACACACCGTAGCTTGGCTCAGCTGTCATCATACTGACTATATTCTCAGACCACAGCAGTTCAGGGCTCTCACTGTCAGAAACAGCCTGCTGTCATCTCACCTCTCTCCTGAGCTTCTTTGTTGAGCAAACCTTTCTTTGCTTGTGGTGTAAGTTATTCTATTTAATGTTTATGCTCAAACATACACAGTATTAGTTCTAAAAATGTCCTGCAACAGTTGTACATATCCAATAGTTTATTGCCATACTGTCACTATAGTGACAGAAAGTCAAATAAGAGTTCAGGTGTTGGATTGTTTCACCTTTCAAAGTCTAGCATGTAAGATTGGAAAAGCAAAACACCTGCCTCACTAAGACCCTACAGAATTCAGAGGTAAGTTTTTACAAATGTAACCTAAAGACTGCTGAGCCAGTGCATTTACAGCTAACTGATACTGTATGTTACCAGTATTTACCTCAAACCTTCCACTTATAATCCAAAGATATAAAAAGTCACACTGCCACCAGAATCTGTATTTCTATACAACACCATGTGAGTCTTGGGCCTCAGTGGGAGACACAGTAAGTTATTCATAGAAATTGGCCTGAATGTGTATTTTAAGACTGTTGGTCTAAAGGCTAGAACAGCTGCCCTGAAGCTCCACACATGGTCGCACACTTTTCTTTGGTAAAATAAAATTAGTCTACACTTTAAAGAGGATTCTTGGGTGGGGGGGGGTTGCAACTGGGGAGGAGACGAAACAAAAGCACAACCTGTTCATCAGATCCTACACACACTTAGGCAACAAGCAGGTGAGAGGCTACACATTCATTTGGAATTCAACCCCTTATCATAAAGAAAACAAAATAAGCTTCTCAATCCATTCACACAGTAACTGCTTCACAGTCAAATAATCCTCTACATAATTTATATATAAATATTATATTATTATATATTAAGGTGAGGAAAGATGTTGGAGTCACTGTGAAAGGTGGAGAGAGAAACCAGGTGAGGTGGAGCTGGGGGACGAGTGGGTCGTTTTTAATGTTTTACTTGGAGACATTGTCCATCCTATAGACTACAGTGGTGGAGCTGTCCTGGTGCGACTCAGTGGGAGACACCTTTGTCCACAGAGGGGCTTTCAGAGCTAGCTCTCGTTGGAGGCTCTCGTAATCCATGGGTCCGAAGCATTGCTGTTGTTTCAGGTGACACGAATAAGAAATTAGTCTAATGCCCTCGGTCTGTGTGCTGTGTGGTTTGATGTCAGATCTATTGAAAAATCAGAGCCAAAATCAGTTCTTTTCATTCTCTCTCATCTTCAAACTAATAACCACAGGAGCAACAGGAGGCAACACTGGGTTCCAGTATCATGCGCCTCACAGCTGGAATGAGCTACAACACAGCCTGTAGCCTGATTCAACCGAGACTTTAAAGCTTTACTAATTGTAATAATGCTTGGGACCATTTTTCAATAAACATGGCTGTGTACTTCTGAGTCAGTGTGTTTTGTTGCTGTGAGCTCTCGTTTGCTCTTAGAGCTGGTTGCAGAAGCCATCTTGAGGCTTCCAGAATAAAGCTTATGTGACTATCTTCTTAAAACTGGATAGTGTGCTGCACATTGCTTTAGGAATGGCAGGCGCTGAAACAAATGATCAAGACGACTGACTTTGGCTCTAGATTTTCAGCAGCGTAGGCCCCCATGTATTTCTGTCATAGCTTTGTACAGGGGTGTTGACGCACCAAAGAAGTTCAACATAGTGTGTGGTATAAACTGAGGTTTTGTTATAACAAATTTAAGTAATTAAGCTTGCTATGTCTGCTGCCAAGCAACATGCAGTGAAATGAATAACTTCACCCAACTAGACATAACTGTTCAGTGCACCTAAAAGCAGCCGCAGCGACCTCCACAAGAAGAAAAAGATGCAGCGCATACAAAGACAGATGACAAGGGGGGACAGAGGCTGCCCTGTTTGCTCTGACATAACCCCTATGTGCTTTTTCACTTTGGGTGTATTGTGCACTATATATGCTCTGTCAATGTCTGCAGCAGATGCAGAATGCTGACAGAGAGAAGGCATGCTGGTTAGTGTATCTGATGAGAAAAAATGTTGGGTTTGGTTCCCCCTCACAACCAGATACGGTGTGTCCTTACCCGCTGGTCCCCTGCTTCTTTTCGAGGATCATGCTTCTTGGCAAAGTGCCTCAGATTGTCGTAGTTGTGGAAATTGAAATGCTCCACAAGGTCCTGGAATAAAAAGACCAACTACATTGAAAAAAAGCATATGGGCTTGTTTCCTTTAAAAACAACAGAAAACAGTCATCCAATTACACTGATTACATGTAACACGGGCTCTGCCATGCAGTGGAAAGTGTGCTCTGTATCTGGGCCTAGTCCCTAGATAATCATTAGATGGCACTTACTTATTAAACAAGCTGAATTCCACCAAAGGTATTTCAAACCAGACACTGCTGCACACTTTCCAGTCATAAATTATAACATTTTTTCATGAAGTTTCTCTGTGCTGCTGATTTTTGTACAAAAGCACTTCTTTACTTGAAGCCACATCAAGTACAACTGTGATTTGCTCTTCTGTTTCCAGATATAACATACCGTGCAGAACTGTATTCCTCTGACTGAATTGCCCAGCTTGTCTAGTGGAGGTGACCAGCACATAATACCCATCACGTTGGGTACAACAAGCAGGATCCCCCCAGCTACTCCAGACTTGGCTGGCAGCCCAACCTACAACAGGGAGGACAGATGAGTTACACAATCAAAAACCAGCTGTGAGTTCTTCTCTCTCCTTGCTGAAATGATTTAGGTGTCCCATCACTGGTTTGGTCTAATAAAATCTGTCCCTGATAAACTAGATGCACACTGCTGAGGAAAGAACATCTTGTGAAAATGTGCTTTTCACTTACGTGGAAGGCAAACTGCCCTGAGAAGTCGTACATGCCACAGGAGTGCATCAGACTCAGGGTATTCCTCACCGCCTCGGGGCTCAGCACACGCTCACCCGTGATTGGGCAGATACCGCCGTTAGCCAGGGTGGCCGCCATGACGCTGGCGCTCTCAGTGGTTACCTCAATGGCACACAGCTGTGGGTTCACACAAAGGACAATCAGTACCATTTGCAGAAAAGTATGTTCCATGCCACAGCAAATGGAGTCATGGAGGTGGGATAAAGGAAGAGCCGATACAGGAAAGTGTGACAGTGCAGGTGAAAAGTGACAGTGGTGAGAAATGTGACAAACCAAATGAAAATGAAGCTTCTGTTCAGAGCACAAACCCTCTGTGAATGGTTGTGAACTCTATGCTATGGCTTTCACAGGCACACGGGGAAGTAAACATGGAGAAAAGCAGAGGGAGTTTGACACAAAAGAGGAAATATGGCTACAACTGAAAGACACAAACTGGTTGGGATCTGACACTCAGGGTTACACTAGTGAAGAAGAAGAAGGAAGAAATCACAAAAACAAAACTAAAGCAAACAAACCATTTCTACACTCACTTGAAAGTACAAGTCCAGCACAGATGTCATGTCTGTTCCCTCTGGGAAACACTGAGGAGACACAGAGGTTTCATTAACCACATGAGACTGAGATAAATAGGACGTTTTTACTGTCAGTGAACCTTTTCTTTGGTGAAAGATAAGTAGGTCTGTTAAAGGTTTATGAGAATCCACTATTAAATCTATTCAAAGGCAAATAGGGCTGCAACAGTTTATTTTAAATATATGTACATAGCTATATTTTCACTTAAGCTTTTTATGGCAGAGAAACAACAAGAGACAGCAGACAACAAAGCCAAAGGTGAAGCATCAATTGTCCAGTGTCAGACCTTTTTTTCTTTCAGGTAGTAGCCAATGGCAAAATTCCTGTCTCCTGATTCACGCTCTGACTGGAATCTGTCACACAAAGAGCAGAAGAAAAAGTTTGTACTCTCAGTGCATGTGTGTGCGGCGCTGGGTTTGCACTTCTGTGTTGGAATCCCATCACCCGACCCATCGTGTGTACAGTACAACCACTGCTAAGTGATGAAAGTGCATCGTGGGCCCCAGCACTCAGTCTTTTCCAGGAACACTACCAGCGTGTGGTATCATCATAAATGATGCACATGGATCTGACCATTACATCACAGATACCAACTCTAATCCTCCCCCTTTATAAAGCCAATAGCAAATCACTGCAAAAAGAACTCCTGCTATGTGGGGACGTCTTTGCTTATTCCAGTTAAAAGGAGAAAGTGTACCACTAACCCAGCACAACTTTTCATTTGTAGCTTCTAGCATTGTATCACTACACTGCGGTTTCATGCCTAATATTAGCTAGTGTCTATTCTGACTGAACTGAGACGGGTGGGATGGGGAATCTAGAAACGTTGAAAGCAGAGCACGTTATTTGACTCACGTAGCATTGCTGAAACCCACATACTCATTTCCTGCCATCTGTTTCAGAAAGTTCATGACCTGGAAGGAAAGCAGAGGGAGGATTAAAGACAGAATGATCAACAGTAGTTCATGGTATGATGATAAACTCTATGGCTGGTTAGTGTCTGCGGTAAAATATTTAGCTGGATAGTGATTAAGTTTGCTCTACATAGTTTCAATCCCACTTCCATAGTACACACAGTAAACAGTATATTCCATGTATACTAACAGCACAATCAGCTTTAATGTGTTATGTATTTATGGCCATTATATCACTAACCCAGTTCACAGTGTTGACTGAGTATTTCTGACCTGAATGTTTGACCCACTGGCTACTTACATAGTCAAATTTCTCTGCGTTGCCTGCACCTTGCTGAGGAGAGAACAAAAGAATATGCTATTAGCACTTTTCAACCACACTAAGAGTGTTAGCAGAGGACAAGCACAGCATCACAAAGGTAGTACTAAAATGATAATACTACTGCTGACTGATTAAAACTATATATTTTTATTACAGATCAAAATCACAAGCTTTTCCAAGAATTATACAAGTACATAATATTAATGTTACAATTGGCTTATGAATAGGTTACAGAGAGGAAAGTCTTTTGGAGCTGAAGGAGATTTAGTAGACATGTGCATTGCCAGTTTAGCCAGTTAAAGAAAAGCATTTCTCCCCATTACATCTCACCGATTCCAAATATGGGTTTCATTATTGTTTTATATCTAAAGTATGGAAAAAAAATAAATCCAGCCTGGCTGTGTGAATGTTTCTATATAAAGTGTGACTGCATGTAGGTGTGGGAGTATGCAGGAAAGTTTGTATAATGAATTGCCATGATGGAGGTGTGCATGTGTATGTGGGTTTAGTGTAGCCCAACACAAGTCATCTGTGCAAAGTGCCTATCAGATAAAACAATGGGGAGAGAGTGAGAAAAGGGAGGGATGGTCTTCCTTTGAGAATAAAATTCACAGCTTGTGGCTCAGTGTACATTTATCAAATCACAAGCTGGTTGATGCTGCCTAGTCCCACAAAGAAAACACAAAGGGAAAATGGATACACATGCACATTAAAAGTGCTATAGCATTTCTTATCATTTCAAAACATAGAAGTATTTTATGTTTTGATAGTTTTAAACTACATTTACGATGTGTGACTGACATACATTTCAGGCTCTACGCTGTTTTGTGCAGAAGAAAAACGTGTCACTGATGGTGGTGTTAAAGACTCACTAAATGGGGTTTCTATTGAGTATAGGAGAAAGAGAGAAGATGAGGGACTGGGGGATTGGGAAAGTGTGAGGAGATAGATATAGAAAAGGAAGAAAAATTACCAACGTCATTTGACCTGCAGCAGCAGTCATTATTTCCCACAGTTCCTAAGTCTGGAAAATATGCAACAACATACAAAAACAGCAACAAGATGTAGCCTTCAAGCACCATGTAACAACAGTTTGGGCCATACAGCCAGGGCCACCATGCCATAGTTTTCCTACCAAAGTCAAAGCTAGCTGGGCACCCTGAACAGCAGCTTGACATCTGTGCTTCAGTTAGGAAAAACACAAACTGCATACAGATAATGATGACAATGGTGGCCGGGTATAGACACAGACACACATTATCACCTCAACACATGTGAGTTGATGTCTTTGAATTATTTCTGAGTGTGGTGTGATGAAAGTCTGCATCAGTAAGAAAACTGCTGGGCTACCAGTCGTATTATTGGCTGCTGAGTGTCTAAGGGGGACCTCACCTTCTTATCTCATATTTAAGAGTACAGAACAAGGACATCTCCTGAAACATGATTTAAAAATGCAATGGAGTGTAGATCTGCTCACATGAAGAGCAGTTCAACATTTTATGAATAGTGTTTACATGCTTTCTGAAAGTGAGATGAAATGAACAGTATTATTTTCATGTGTGCATACAGTACGAGTCCATACGTGTTTAGCTAGTTTAGCATGTAGCCTGTAAGCAGGGTAAACAGTTAGCCTAGCCTCACTTTAGCCTACGTTCAAAAACAGACAGCACTAACAGTCACCACGTTGTATTGTGTTTCTGTACATAAACATTAACTTCTAAGTGGTTTGAGAAGGACTTGTGTTAGAGATGTATCCTGATAAACAATAGTTTGGTGCAATGACCACATGCTGCTTCTGAGAGTCTTGTCGTCACCGTGTGGTTGCCAGGGTTGAGACCAAATCCATTTTGCTAAGTCAGCTAAACACTTCTGGACTCCAGCTCCAAACTTAAAGCAGTATTAACAGAATTTTTGCCCACCTGGGAGCAGTGGAGCAAACTGTTGCTGAACTGGCTGAAAATAAGGTCGATGAGAACTGAGAGCGTGAATCAAAACAGCAAAGTTAAGGGCCCAAAAAATGCTGAACCATTGAAGCTGCTGCTCACTGCTGTCTACGATAACTTGTGTGTATCCTAATGCCTCATTTAAATTCTCTAGCTTTCCACTTCTGTTTGATAACTACAACATTAAACAATGCTAAACAGTAAATACTGGAGTTGTGATCTCAGACTTTAAAGTCTTTTTCTGTTGTATGACAACAGAAAAAGACTGCCCCCATTTTGTTTTGTACTAAAATATGGCTCGAGCTGCATATTTTTCCCCCGAACCTGACCTGACCCAGAGAGCGTGGTGGCTGAACTTGACCTGAGCCAAACACAGTTGAATTTGTGTCCATCGTGCTTGACTCTGAGGAAGACCTATGAGTCAAAATGTCTCTGTCCCCTTACCATGAAACGAAGCACACAATTGAGTGCTCCAGCTTTCTGTTTATTTGTTTGGTATAGTCATATTTGAAGCAGTTAAACTGCTGAACACATTACGATATGTGTATCCACCCTCTATTTTGTACTCTCTGCTAAAACAAAATCACAGAAAGTGATAGCAACAGTCGGCACAATATCAGCATTTTATATGGCGGGTTAATAAGATGCACCAGATGATTGTGTTGTTCACTAGGGTGGGCAGGTTTTAGTACAGCTAACAAAAGTCTGAAATAAAGGTCAAATGTTTCCTGAAGCTGACTTAGTTCTTTCTAAACTGTATCATAGAATAACAGTTCTTCTGAGTTTACTGAAGTAAACAACTTTGGGTCTGGATACCTGCATAGATGTGAATGGCTTCTGATGTACACCAATCAGCCACCTGGTGGCTTTAATGTTGTGGTGGACGGGGATCAGCATGGGGAAAATCTAATGCCAGCCATGGCAGACAGGTGTCAGAATACACCGTGCATCACAGCTGGCTGTGCATGTGCCCATGCAGACACCTGTCCAACGCAGCATTAAAACCAGCAGGTGGATTTAATGTTGTGGCTGATTGGTATATGATGCAGGTAGCCTCTTCCTGTCAAGGCCTTGAATGCATTGCAACCAACAGTCTACATTTTCCATAAAACCTCTTAGGACACACACACACACACACACACACACACACACACAAATCTAAATCCATCTTCACACAATTAATGGTCCTTCAATGGACTATTCATTGATCTCCAGCCCCAAAGGCATTCGTGTTTATGGGCACAGCTATGGAATGAAATTTGTAGTACTTTGACTAAAAATGGATACTTTTTTTATTTTCTTAAGAAAAGGGCTTTCAACAGCATGTGGACACTAAAAACAACACGTCCTAGATCATGAAACTCGTAACACAGCTATTCTGTTGCTTACTCCTTTCATATACAAGAGATCCTAAAACAAAATCAAGATACAGGCCAAATGCTTCAGAAAAGATTTACAGAAGATGATCTGTTGTTGATTTTCCCTCTCAAGTCAAATAAAAACTAATAATCACACATCTGCACATTGGTTTAACTTCAGTGAGTGCAGCATCTCATTAGACGTACATTACAGTTCAGTTCAAAGTCTGAGTGGGACAAAAACGGTGCAGAATAAAGGCAGACGATGTCAAATACCAGTCTGAATTTGACGGTTTTGTAGCAATGAACAGAAAATGCTTTAAATCCATGATTGAGTAATGCAAAAACAAAACAAAAAAAAGAACAAAACCTGCAGCTGTGAGGAAGAGCTGGCACACAGTAAAGGTGTATATACATAGCTCTAGTGTGAGTGCTAACCATCACTGTTAACAGTACCATAAGTCTGTAGAAAAATTCACAACGTGACCTTGGATGATGATCACCTGTTGACAAAGCCAGCATTTAAGCCAGGCGTAATATTTTGTGACTTAACCTGTGAGCTGCAGCTGGTTTGACCTGTTAGAGGACAGGTGATTCATTTTTATGTCCTAGAATGCCAAGTCATTGTCAGTCTGTCTTCACACTGAGTTACCTCAACAAAATTCAAATAGGGTGATACGAAACCCTGGCGACAGGATCAAGGAGAGGCGGCAGGTGAGGTGATCTTCATCAGCAGACTGTTGTTGGTCTGCATGCACCTGCATTTGACTAGCTCTCTGTCCAGGTTATTTTCAGCAAGGACAATAAGGATTAGCATAAGTCTTCATCACCACAAGAAGACACATGGCAGGGGACTAAGGCAGTGACCTAGAAATACGCACACTCAGAAGTCCAGTCTCCTGAATCAGTAACGGTACCATGAAATAATAACTACACAGATTTCTGACAATGGTTTGGACGGAACGTTAAATCCTAGATTACTGACAGTCGTCTTGAGTGGGTTTGTGTTCGTAGAAAAATAGGCTATTAAAACAACTGTTAAACGGTCAAGTCGTATCTACTACCAAGGCTAAATATTTATCTTTTTTTTTATTTTTAGATTCGACTTTATTGTCATTACCCATGTACAAGTACAAGGCGGTTTAGCGCCTAACCAGAAGTGTAATAACAGCAGTGCAGAGTGTGCAGTATCTACAGTCTGTACAGTCAGAACTAATTTACTGATAGATATGTCCAATTGATATTTACAGTAAGATATGTAGGGTAATGTACAATATACAACAGACTGAACATCAAACACACACAGAAGGAAAAAGTGTTACTGCTCTTACCTTTATCAGTGAAGTGCAAACAATAGCACCAGCGTTGACCATGGGGTTGTGAGGCTTATCTGTAAAACAACAGGAGCTCAGTTAACACTCACAAGATCAAAATGTAAATGTTTAGTCGTGTTCTAGAATTCTGAGAGCTCAGTATATAGATAAATCAAACACTGAGGATGAATAACACAAATTTACTCAAGATATTACAGATAAAAATATAGTTTTGGCTACGAGGGGCTTTACGAAGTGCATTAATAGCAAAACAATGTAGTACGTATTTTATGTGGAGTTTTATTTGGGAAAGTTGCATGGCTACTAACCAAACGGTTATTTTCTTGTGCTTGTAAATTTTAGCACATACATAGTTTGGAAGCCTGACACAAGCTGGTGTGTTGTATGAACTACACTGAGCTCTGGACCTACTGTACCACCTACACACTCTGAGATGAACTGTAGCGTTTCAGTTTGTAGGTCTGAATGGATATCTGTGTTCACCGAGCTGCAATGAGTCACAAATGATCAATTACTGTGGAACCAAAGATGGTCTATTTTCACACAAAGAATTTAAAAGTAAAATTGAGGATATAAAGCCATGTACTCCTGTTAATCATTTGTCAGCTGCTGACGCCACAGGCATCTGACATACAGGAGCAGATAGGAGCTGGACCTACATTTCCCCACTGGTGTGTGATCCCCTTACATAACAGGACAACCACAAGGCTTTCCCATTGGATAATGGGCAAAACTCCCACACAGGACGTGACAACAACTGGTCTGCAGCTCAAGTACCAGCCTGGGGATTGTGGCATTTCCTCTGACAAACTACAAGTTCCGACTAATAGCCTGCATACACATGATGTCATTTCATCACTAACAACGTGTCTACACCAAAAACATTGAGTGTGCAGCGCACAGCGTCTCGAGTGAACCTCGCGTTCACGTCTATACCAGGTGTGTGTTCACTCACACACTGGAAGCGATTTGTGTCTGCAGGCAGCCTTGTCAGCTTGTTTTTTTTTTTTTTTTTTTTTTAACAAAGCTCAGTTATTTGATAACTTGTGGACAGTTCATGGACAAGAAGAAGAAAAGGACAACTCTAAAGTCTCACCATCTTCATCGAGGAAGAGCTTATTAAAGCGCAGGCCACTGGGCTCCTTCCCAATGAAACTGTGCACATACTCTGTGCCATAGTCATGGACAGCAACAGCGTATTTCAGAGGCTTGACACAAGACTGCAGGCAGAACGGGACCTTGGAGTCTCCTGCTGTGTATCTATAAAACAGATGACAAGTTATCTAAACAGGCAAACCATCTGAAATGTCAGAATTACAAGTGAGTACAAAATACAGACATGAATGTAGCAGGAAGTTCTTAAGAGGTTTATCGTTGCTAATTCCAAGAATAATGAGAGTATTCAGAGAGAACCATAAAAACTAACAGAGCATTAAAGTGTGACAAAATAACAACACCATCATTTCCGTACTTGTGTTATCTTTATGACCTCCTGTCACAGAAACGTAACAAATCTACACGCCCATGGAACTTCTCAACTTCCTATCAGAGAACAGGCTGATCAAAACACCTGTGGACATTCTGACACCACACCCTGTACAACTGCTTCCTCGTTCTAAATGTGTCATTACTGTTAAACGCAGGATGACCCAGTACCTGTACATTATAATGTAATGCTAAACTACAAATTCGACCATAATCAACACTTCTCTGAAACATATGTTGGACGCTATAAGCTTCACAAAGTGTTTATTATGCCTCTGCACCGGTGACAGCCGTGGCCGGAGACATATGTCCGCATTATGTTTTCAGCTCCGACTGTTCCCAATGCTTGGAAAATGTTGGCGTATGCAGACATAAGGCAGACCATCGACTGTGCACATGAAGGGCAGGCACGCATTCCTATGCATGCTTCGATATGTTTGTGCGTTGTACAAAGTCTGTTTAGCCCTTAAGAATCAATAAATCATGTGGCTCCTCAAACTGAATAATTAAAAAAATTTATGACGCTGACATGATATGAAATACGATGAATGGTTTCTGCAGCTCGTTGGCATTCCTCACATGGATCGCTGGATGCCAAATGCACTATTAAAAGTAACGAGCTAAAATCTAAATACGTAACAGTATCCCTTTGATACTTGGTCCCATTCAGGACCGTCTCACCTCTGCCCGTCAACTGTGCACATAGAGACAGCCCACAGGTCAGGGTTGAACTTGGCAAGCTGTGGAATGTAGTCTGCGACCTGAAAGAGAGGAAAGCCAGTTGAAGGAGTGTCACCTTACAGTGCTGAGACTCAGGTTTTGTTTACTTTGTGTCTTTTATCAGTTTCCACCACATTACAGCCAGTCATCTTCACCACCACCTAGAGATGTTTCTCTCTCTCAGTACATCCACACTACACTCTTCTCTTTCACAATGAGCTACTACCATTCTGGATATGTAAGCAAACGGTGACGTACACCTCTGATGTGGGCTGAATGCACACTGAGACCACACGGAAACAACCAAACAGACTTGATGGTAATGAAACTTTATGGCTAAATCACATTTATAATAGACTGGGGGGAAAAAGAAGAGTGATGGATCTAAGGACAGACCTGTCCTCCAGTGAGTTTTTTGCCATTCTCATACAGCTCATCAATACGGGAGGTGAAGGACGGGAAGTCTGGGATGATGAACTTCTTGCGAAAGGCCTGAGTTAGCAGGATAATGTTGCTCTGGACACACCTGATGAATAAACCACAAACAGCATGCTATAATAATGTGTCTGCATGCAGTTGAAGGAAAAGTTTGTCAACCAAGTTTGCAACCCTGAAGTCTGACAAACTTCTGTGAAGTGAAACTATTGAAAAGGTTTCATTATAACATACTGATCATCTGCTTTTTTGTGATCTAGCATGATTTCATACAGTGATGAACGATCATTTTCATACCATGGACACCATCTGTGATACTGTCCACGGGTTTCAGGAACATGTCAGTGCTCAAATTTAACCAGCGCACACAGCAGGAAACGTGAAAATCAATACTTGTGTTTTTAGTGTGTCTAGCCTGTCAAATAAATGTTTTGTTGGTGTGAAAAATAAATATTACAAAGTATCAGAGGCATGTGAGGTGAAATATCCTAACCACAGAACTCTGCTATTAGAGTATTTAATTAAGGATGCACTGATACCACTTATCAGGTATCGGGTCTGATACCATCCTCTAGTATTCGTAATTATACTCATACAAGTTGTCAGATGCCACATAAATGCAACATTATGTTAACGTCACGCTGGCTGAGCAGGCCGTTAGGGGCGGATAAAGTAACCACGATAAAAGTAAAAAGGTCTGCTTCTGTGCTCTGTGACAGGGAGGGAGGGGTGCTCATACAAACACAGTGGAGAGGAGACAAAGTCACATTTTACAGAGACGTCAACACTATGTGCAACAAAATCCAACTGTAACGTGAGAGTAATTAATCAAACACTCGTTCAACAGGCAGAACCCAACAAACTTGTAGAAACGCTCTACCTTAGCTCTACCCGAAGTTAAAATATACAGTCCCGTTCACCCACTAAACCCACACGGTGCGCTTTCTGCTAATTGTAATGACCTTTTCATGATCACATGAAAATAAAAACTGACTCTAAAGTCAGTGCACTTTTATGATAACTGTTGTCGTAGAAACACAGCATTAGTAAGTACTTGTATCAGTACTCAGTATAGGCCAGTATTCAAATTACTCTAATATAAGTACTGAAAAAGTAGTACTGGTGCTTTCCTATACTTCATGTTATATTTGCCTGGATACACGCAGTTTCAAGGAAGTATTGTTAAAAATATGAATACTACAATGTCATAACAGTAACTTTATGTCTAACATATAGTATAACTGAATCCTACAGAAATATTTATTACTAGCCAGAACAGAAGGCTCTCATGCAGAAAGTGGCACAGGTACAAAAAGAGTTCATCCTTTTTGCATTTATGCACATTTATGAATTTATGTCTGCTTGAATTTTCTCATTAAAAATATGGTCAAAGTGCATAAAATGCTTTAAGCTGAAGTGAGCACAGGATCTTGCTGCCAAAGTGGTAGCAGTATATGATGGAGATAAAACACCCAAACGAGACAAGACATAACAAGATTTACTTCTTGAAAAGGTGCCTGTCTAGTGTGACGCCATCTGGTGTGTTCCTTAGAGTTTGTTTGAGGGTTTCCATGCATTCTTTCAGACGAGGATCCCCAGTGAGGAGCCCTGTGGTCTTCAGTGCCTAAAATAAAAGAATACAAGATAAGAAAGAATGTAACTGTACATTAATACC